CCTTCCCCCAACTCCTCCTCCCGCTCCCCTGGGACGTTGGAGCTGCTGGGGCTCAGGGCAGACACAGCCTGCAGAAAGCTGCCCCCCACTTCCCAGGGCAAGTCCCCCCTCGTTGACACACACAGACTTCCCCGTCACACGCTGGTGCCCTGGACGGACGCACAAACCACACGTGCAATGCACAAACACGCTCTCACCCCCCCAAAATCCCCCTCCCTGCTGCCCTCCATGCTCCCCACACCTGGCCTGGCCCTGTGATGCTGTGATAAATGCGAATTATCCTGGGGCACGGGGGGCACCTCTCTGCTCCTGAAGCCTGAAATAAAAGCCATGAGTTGGAGCAGCGATGCCACCTCTGCAGCAGAGTTTAGAGCCGGGGTATAAGGGGTGAGGGGGATGGAGGAGGATGGTGACAACTGGCTCTCGAGGTGGAAACGCTCTTGGCACCTGTCCTGATGCCCGTGGAGGCACTCCAGCAGAAGGTGGTTTGGAAAGACGGAGGGTGCATTGGGAATTTGGGGAGCAGGTTGAAAAGCAGCCCCCTCGGCAGGGCGAGGAGCTGGGGGGCTGCTGCTCTGGCAGTGTGTCCATGCGTCAGAGCTGGTCCTAGGCTGGAGACTCATCCCCTTTTTTCTCTTTCCTCTCTTACAGATTTCTCCAACCAAGTCAATTCCACGTCCCTGAACTCTCCCACGAGCCGGGGGCCCATGGCCACCCCATCCCTCCACCCGTCCATCGGGCCGGGCATCGGCTCCTCGCTGGGCTCCCCGGGCCAGCTCCACTCGCCCATCAGCACCCTGAGCTCGCCCATCAATGGCATGGGACCTCCGTTCTCCGTCATCAGCTCCCCCATGGGCCCACACTCGATGTCCGTCCCCTCCACCCCCAGCCTGGGATTCGGCACCAGCAGCCCACAGGTAAGGGGGAGGTGGTGGGGACGTTGCTGCTGCCTCTTAAGCCAAGGAGATGCCACCTCCCAGGGTTCCCAACCCAGACCTGGCTCTGCAACGCAGACGGGCACCCAAGGGTGGCAAAAAGCAGAAGCCCAAGGGGGAAACCAAGCTGAAGGCATCATGCTCCTCTGGCCAGAGCTGGGTGGCTGCAGCCACCTTTGGGGCTGCCCTGGATGGGCTACGAGGGACCATCACAGGTGGACTACAGCCATCCATCACCTCCCTTCCAGTCCTGCCCTGGACTGGGAGTGAGAGGGGAGCAGTGACAACCCCTAGGTCACCTGGGTGCTGGTGTAGCTCTGGCAAGCCACCAACCTCTGGGGCCACCCTGGAACTATCTGCACCCCATGCTTCTCACCCAAACAGTCCCATCCCATCCCCTCCAGGGCCAGCCCCATGGTACAAACCGAGGGGTCCCCTGCTCACTGCCCCTTTCTCCTCGCAGGGGAAGAGCTGGCCTTCGCTGGCTGAAGATTATGTAAAAAAGCTCCAACTAGGGAGAGATAAGCTCTTTTTAAAAATAGCAGGATCGGGGCGCGCTGGCCAGGCCCTGCCACCTGTTGCTGGCTGCTCGCACGGTATATGTTTAGTCAAAGGGCAGATTAAGGAATTGGCCACCACCTGCCACTCGCTGTGGGTTTATTTATTCCAGGCCCTCTTGGGGAGTCAAGCACCTGCCAGCACCTTTATTTTTAAATATTGGCCTGATTTATTTCCAGAGATAACGGGCCTTTCAACCCCGGGGTTGGGGAGGGCTGGGCTCTGCTGAATCCCATCCCCAGGGACCCCCAGGCAGTTTCCCCAGGACCCGTCATCCCTGGGCTGGCCAGAGAGGTGACAGCTTTATTTTCCTTTTGATGGGCTCATCCCGTGAAGGATCCATCCTGTGACCCCCATAGATGTGTGGGGACCTGCACCCCACAGCCCGGTCCGGCTGGGTCCCGCTCCCTTGGGAGATGAGTGGGGTGGACATGTCACCTCCTGTCCCATGGCCAAGGGAAGGGGAACTGAAACAACCCCTTGGGAATGGGCAGCCAGAGCAAAATTAGCAGCAGGAGCGCCGAGATGGTGGGGAAGGAGGGATGTGAAGCAACGCGGGGGGTGAGCCTGCGAGGAAAGGGGGAAGGGGCGACGCACCCCCAGCGTCGGTGACAAGGCGCGGTTTGCTTTAGGGAGCGATGAGCCAGAGGAACTGAAATAAAACGCAGCCACGGGGCAGAAAAAGGGGAATTGAGAGTGTGGTCAGATGGTGCCAAGGAGCGAGCTGGCGGCTCCAGCCCTCTCGGCGCCCTGCGAGCGCCCGTCCTTTGCTGGGGGACTCGTCTTAAGTGGTTTTCCCGGAGGTGACAGTTAGGAGGTCTTCAGCCTAATGGCTCCTGCCATCTGTTCCCTGTCTGGGCGCATTAGGGCCCTGTCCCGTCCCCCATCCCTGCAGCGGGCAGAGGCGCCTACCTGAGCCTGCAGAGGAGGAGGAGGAGGAGGAGGAGGGTGTGGGCAGGCAGTGGGGCCGATGCTGGGAGGGGAGCGCAGCCCCCCGTGCCGCTGCACTGGTCGGGGGGTAATGAGGCGTGTGGCCCCCGTCGCCGGGCGGGGATGGCACTGATGGAAGGTGGTTTGCATCAGATGGCAGATGCCACTTGCCATCAGGCCATGCCTCGTCGCCTCTGGAAAAGCCAGCAGAGCAGAAGGGCACGGGACACGGGAGGTGCGGTGGGTCCTGCAGGGCGGGTCCTCACCACCCCAGCTCCTGCTGGCACCGGGGTGGGAAGGAGTCCTTTTGGGAAGGCTCCCAAAATCTGGGGTGTTTTCCCTTTCCCGTTAGATCTGGTGGAGCCAGCAGCCCTTGGTGCCAGCACCAGAGGATGCTCAAAGTGCTCTTGGTACCCTCCCTCCAGCACTGTGCGCTTTCTGGGACCTCGCACGGCTTCCAAATGCAGCCCCAAAACCAGGCAGGGGTGTCCCAGCACCCGGGCCCTCTCAGGGAAGGGGGATGCTGGCACCGAGCTGGGCAGGGAGTGAGGTGTGTAGGGCAGGAGCTCACGGCAGTGAGCAATGTCCCAGCCGGACCCGGGGGCTGGACGCAGCGGCTCTGCTGCATACTGGGATTTAATGCAGATTTAAACCCTCTTACCTAAAGATTCTGGGAAAACAGGAAAAAAAAAAGAAAGAAAAAAGCAGGATTTTCAGTAAGAGCAGAAAGGGAGGGACTTTCCCCGTGGTTGGCAGGGCTCTGCCGTGCCAGCAGCCGCCCCAGGCATCGCTGGCAGCAGCTCGGGGCGCCCGGGGGCGAGCGGGGAGAGATCAGAGGCAGGATTAGGCTTTTCCAGAGCTGCTCTCTGCCTTTGCACAATGCTCTTTGTAAGGGTGCCG